TGTGTGTGTGTGTACACGCCTCAGCGATCATTGGCCGGGGCCGGGGCTCACAGAGAGAAGTAGGAAGCCTGGAGAGGCCCTGATTGGAGGTTGTGGCATGGAGGCGGGCTAACTGAGGAGGACTGTCCAGTGATTGGTTTGCAGCAGACGAGGCTTTCTCAGGCAAGTCTTCTTTCAACGCGTCCTCAACCCCTGGTATACAGCTGCAGAGGTTGAAGGATGCAGGCTGTCAGGGACAGTCAGGTGGCACATTCAGTCTCTCACCCCAAGCAACATTTGCCTCTACCTCCTGATCTACAAAACCCTTTTCTCTTTCTACAGCTGCCAAAGAGATCCAAATTCCACTTGACCACCGGTTTCCTTGGACAATTCCTACCCCAGGTGGGATCGAGCTTTCACTTCTTCTGCTGTCATCCTGGGCTCTTGGGGAGGACTGGGCTGTGTCAAAGGGAAGGGACCAGCAGGGACCCTGGGCTGACTGAGGGTGAAGGTGGTTGCCAGGGCCTCATCCATTCCACACATGTCCACTGTGTGCCTGGAGCCCTGTGCTGGGGACCCAGCAAAAGCGACCGTATGCCTGCCTCAGGTACATGAGACGGTGACAAAAACAGCAGTATCTATGACAAATGACACCAAGAGGTGGGTGCCACTGCTTTAGACAAAGGGCACAGGGCAGGCCTTGACCTGTGTGGTCTTCAGCCATTTATTCTTCCTAGTTCTGGAGACTGGAAGACCAAGATTGGGGTTCCAGTGAGGGCTGTCTTCTGGCCTTGCAGGCAGCCACTCTCTTGCTGTGTGTGTGTGGCGGGGAGGGTGTCAGAGACTAGAACCTCTGGTGTCTCTTACTAAAAGGATGGTAATTCTGTCAGCATAGGGCCCCGTCCCCTTGACCTCATTTAGCCTCACTACCTTAGAGGCCTCACCTCCACATACAGCCACACTGCAGGCTAGGGCTTTAAGGGTGAGGGAACACAAACATTCCTTTTATGACACTTCCTCTGGTGGTGGCAGCTCTAGAAAATTTCTACAGAGGGAAAGCTTGGCTGGGGGTGGGGGAGCAGCATTTGCAATTATAGTCATGTTAGTTTTACTCAGGCTGGGTGTAGCTGGGGAGGATGAAAGTCTGGGAGAGAGGAGGGAGGTCACCAAGGCCCTCCTTAGTTTCCCTTGAAGCTACTGTTGCTCTCTGAGGAGGTGAAAATTTGAGCTCAGACTTCAAGGAAGGAAAAGAGCCAGGCTAGAAAGGAATGGAGGAACAAGCATTTAGTCAGAAGGAACAGAGAATGCAAAGGGTTTCAGATGGCAAGAGAGCTTGTCCATTTGAGGAGTAGCCGGAGTCCCCAGTGCCCAGAAGCTAGAGGCAAATGGAATGAGGTCAGCAGGGCCCCAGATCCCAGGCCTTGAAGTCATTTGGATTTATTCTGAGAGCTTTAGGAGGACATTGGAGGGGTTTCTACAAGGGAAGGGCAAGACAAGACTTAAAACCATTTTAATAAGAAAACCTTTTTTGTTGGCTGTCCCCGTGGGTACAGGTGTCCCAGATGTTCCCCGACATGAATGTGCGGCTCGTCTTTTCCGTCTCCTCACCGCCACACCTGGTCATGGAGCCCACTGGCCTCGCCTTCACCCCTCACCTGGAGGCCCAGGCCTTTGCTGTGCTACCCGACTCCTCCCTAGCCTCCCTCTTCCTGCTTGGCATGGTAAACTGCTCCTGGGTGCGGGCTGGAGGGAGTACTGTCCTCAGAGTCGGGGGATTCAAGCCTGGGGAGTGGGACTCGGAGCCTAAGACTGAAGCCGCCAGAGTCCCACAGGCACACAGCCACCCCCGTGTATCTGTTTATGATTCAATTATTCATTCTCTCACTTTTTCATTCACTGAGTTATTCATTCCCTCATTGTCTTGAAATATGTGTACTGTTTCTAATTCATTCACTCAGATCTTTGGTCAGTCTGTTATGCATTTGCATATTTCCTCATTCACTCATTTATTCATCCAATTATTAATTCTTTCAATTATTCATTAGATTGCCAACTTGAAATACGTTATACTTTTTCTGGATCCTACATGCATTCATGTGTTCAATTATTCATGAATTAATTTACTTACACACTTATTCTATTGGCCCTTCGTCTGTATATTTATTCATTTATTCATCTGTGCATATCTTTACTTACTCCTCCATTTGTGGGTTTGCTTAATCCTTTACTTATTCAAATTCTCATTCCGTTGTCAATTTACTCATTCATTTGATGATCCCATCACTGCCAGACATTTGGTGGCATCTATGGTGGCCGCTAGGAATGGGTCCAAATACTCCCATGAGGGTCACTCAGAAGCCTTATTTCTAGTGGAGACATGTTATCCCCATTTTGCAGATCAAATGGGTTCTGAGTAGGTCACTTAAAGTCAGACTGTCAAAAAGCTGAGGTGAGCACCTTCAATTCTCCCTCAGTAAGTATTTCCTGAATGGATCAGTGAGTGAGTGACCAGGAATAGGGCTGGTCTCCTCTGCACCCCTCAGATCTGCCCTATGTCACCCTCCCGAGTGGCTCAGGAACTCAGAGTTCTCCCAGAAGCTTTGTGACAGTCCAAGACTGCTCAGCAGCCACAAAGCAAAGTCTCCCTGCTTCCTGGGTGCTGTGGGCCACCCTCCCAGGCTTTGAGAAGCTGGCCAGGCCCGTCGCCTGGTCAGGGTGGTCACCTGGCTGTCACTTTGCAGAGCATGAACGCACACCTGGCAGTCGGTGTCAACTCTGACAGGCTCGTGGGAAATCTCACGGTGGACACGTAAGTGGCCTGTGGGGACAGAAGAGGGACTGCCCATGTGCTCTGGTGGGCCACAGGGGAGTGGGAGCTTTCCCATGTACCTAGCATCATGTCCTGGCTTTTGTTCGCCTGTCGCTTTTCAGCCTGGGTTTGCAGACAGTGAAACGGAGGCCCAGAGATTAAGTGGCTTGCCTGAGGTCACATGTGACCTTGTGACCTGCCATCTCAGTTTGCCCAGGATTGTCCCAGCTTTAGCACTGAAAGTCCTCTGCCCTGGGACACCTGTCTGTCCCAAGTGGACTCCTGGCGGGGAAACATGCTGAGGACCCCTCCACACTGGGCACATCAGTGTCCAGTGCCCTGTGTCCCTAGCCTTTCTTGGCACCAGGAAATCCCATGTCAGCTTCTGACCTTTCCTAGAACTTCAGGCCCTGTCCTCTGCCAAAAGACTCCTGGACCCATGTAACCTAGGTTTGAATCCCAGGATGGAGGGTGTAGTCAGGAGGGTGGGCTCTGAAGGGAGGTTGCCTGCATTTGAAAAGCAAGTGACAAACTCCAAACCTCAGTTTTCCCAGCTGTGAAATGAGTTCCGTAAGTATTCTCTGCCAACAGTACCACCGTGAGGATTAAGTGAGCTATTAATATGTGCTGAATGCCTGGAACACTTCACAGGCTGTAACAAATGCTGAATAAACAAGAGGGAAAGAGGGACACACAGAGAAAGAGAAATACAGAGACACAGAGAGTCAGAGAGGGAGGGAGGGGAGAGAGAGAGCAAGAGAGATTGAGACAGATGGAGAGACAGACAAGTTAACAGGGAAACAGGCAGGGAGAGCGAGGTGGGGAGAGACAGTGGTATGGTGACCCCAAAATTCAGGCCTGGTGCCTTCCTCGTCATCACATTCTGCTGTCTGAACTGCATCCTGACCCACATTGCTGCCCGTTTTCACCTTCTCCCCCACGCAGAGCTGTCCTTAACCTTGACATCAGCCCTGGAGGTTTACGTGCTATTCACTTCTCCCGGCATCACTGTGATGAGTGTTACTGCTTTGGTTTAATTTGCCTGGAAACACCCACAGGCCTCACATGGAGGGGCCAGGGAGGGGACAGCTGGGCTGTGGCTGAGCACAGACTCTGGGGTGGGCAGGGACTGAAGGCAGGGTCTGGGAATGCATGGAGCCAAGATCCAGGGGCCCCGGGCTCTTGGTAAACAGCAGCAAGTGTTTAAACTCCAAGGATGGTTGGAGACAACAGGGCTTTGGTGTCCGGGAGACCTGTGTGGAATCCCGCTTTGCTAGTTGTTAGTTGTGTGGTCTCGGGCAGGTTGCCTGACCTCTCTGAATGTCAGTTTCCTCAAATGTAAAATGTGGGGCACAGAGATCTTGATGTAGGAATCCAGTAGGGTAAAGCACTCAACACAGCAGGCTACATTTCCCCTTTTCTCTGAGATCACTGCTAAAATACCGTCAGGGCCATGGCGGGGTGGAGGAGTGGCTCAGGTGACTGAAAAGTCCGAAGGGTTCAGGCAAGAGTGGCTTGGGTGCCCGAGTGGTGTCCTTAGGGTCTGATTCCATCTCTTGGCTCTGCTGTGCTCTGTGCTGGCTTCAACTCGCTGCGGGCTGTCACCGAGTGGTGGCCTCCTGTTTTCCTGGAGAACCTGAGGGCCACAGCCCTGGTGTTTCCAGCACAAGTTCCGGGGGTGCTCTTTCTGATCAGCACGGCCACAGCCCACGCCTGAAGAGTGACTTGCGGGGGCAGACTGCACCCAGGGTTCAGCATAGGCTCTGCAGCACCGAGGGCACAGGCGGCTGGAGGAAGGGACATGGGAGGGGACTGGGGGGACCAGGCCTTGGGCACGTGTACCAGCCGGGCTGCTTCGGTCTCAGTCTCGTTTTCCCTGTCACAGGCTACGTCTGAAACTGAGACACTCCAACGTCGGCAGCTTCCCGGTGAGTCCCAGCCCCTGGCTCCTTCGTCCTTGCCCTGACCTTGCGGGATCTGTCGCAGGCTCCTGGCGTCGCTCAGGAGCCACTGGCTCATTTGTATGGAATTTGTCTGTGAATGCGTGGTGAGAGGAGCTTTGTGGACAGAGTGATCAGAGCCGGAACCCCTACTCCACGCTCACTGACAGTGAGGCTGTGGGCGATCATTTGCCTTCTCTGAACGTCAAGCTTCCCCAGCTGAGCCAGTGTGGTGAGGTTTCTCAGTGGGACTAGATGGGCTCACCCTGGTACAGAAGGTCTGCTCAGCCAACGCTGGTTGAATGAACCAGTTTGTGACTTTACTGAGCGAGTATTTCTAGCTGGGTTGTTCCAGGTGTGGTTGATGCTGAGCTTTACATGGTGGTGGGGAGACAGGATGGTAGGAAGTGATCAAAGCTATGGAAAACAGAATGGGGGTGGGGGAAAGTGAGATGAGTAGTGGGAGATGCTCTGGTCTCTGAGGAGGTGATGTTTGGGTTGACAGGTGAGAAGGAGCCCGCAGAGGGACCTGCAGAGGCAAAAGCCCTGTGGTGAACACAGGCTTGATGTGTTCGGGGGACAGAAGAAGCCAGAGTGGCTGGAGTGGGGGCCACAGGAGGAGACATGGGGTGGGCAGGCTGGGAAGGTCAGCAGGGCCTCCAGGGCTGTGTTCAAGGGCAATGAGCAGCCAGAGACCTGGATCCTGCAAGGAGCAACACGCTCTGATTTCTACCTTTGGAAAAGATCCCCTAGGGGTTGGGAACTGGTCACAAGCAGGAGAGTCAGGCCAGAGGAGTGTGGGGTGGGGCTGGGACTCATCCAGGAAGGAGGAAATGCAGATGGACTTTGGGAGTTGCTTTAGACAAAACTTGGTGGAGATTGGATATGGGTCATGACAGGAAGGAACAGCAAGTTGACACCTAAGGACTGGGGTACAGCTCAATGGAGTGCTTGCCTAGCAAAAAAAAGAGCAATGGCATGGAGAATTTAGGCTGAGCAGCTGGGTCAATGGCAGATCCAAGCACCAAGATGAGGAAGGGCAGCTGAAGGGACAGGAGCAGGTGTCCCTCAGTCCAAGTAGACAGCTCCCCACCTGGAAATCCTTGGCCATCATTAGTACTGCCCAGGCACTGAGAGCCAGCTGACCTCATAATTAGCTGCTGAGATGTTCTTAGACACCTACTGTTAAGAGCGCCCAGCCTGTGACTTACATCCGAAGCCACTCTCTTGATCTCTCCAGAGTCTCGCTCCCTGTAGCTGACTCTCCTTGAGTTCTGGTTGAACCCTACTTTCTGCTGCCCTGGACAGCATCTCCCTAGATCCCTGAGATGCTCCCAAGTCCCCCTCAAGGAAGTGACTTGAACTCTCCCAGCATGGAATCAGGCTGTGCAATCTCCCAGCAAAGTCTGATAAGAATCCAGCCCAACCCCATCCATCTGGTGAGATGATGGGACACAGAGGGCCAGAAGCCACCTCATGGTGTTGTCATGGGTTTTCTGGTGTCTCAGCTTCCTCAGGGCCTTGGCTAAGTTGGTAACTAACTTCTGCTTCGGCAGAAAATAAATATATGCACCTCCTAGGGTTCAGAAGAAGGAGGGCACACCGTGGTGAACCCAGGGAATTATAGCCTGGGGAAGGAAACTCAATTGTTCCAGAAACAGAACATACATATTTACAAGTTGTAAATGTCACCACTATAGGCCTTAATCCTCACAGTTCCACATTACATTATTTTTGAAAAAAATTTTTATTATTGCCAAAGCAAAGCATATATACCGTTGAGTATGAAGAACCTACAGATTCTCCAAACAAAGAAAATTAAAACCATTCATATTTTCACCACTTAGTTGATAATTTGGAATATATCCTTCCTGACCTTTTGCTATGCCCATCTAATTTTAAAAGTGGGATTAGGTGATTTCAACAGCCTCCTGTTCCTCATTCAAACATATATCAAGCATATCTCTTATTGATAATTGTATTTCTACAGTGTCATTCTTAACAGCTGCATTATGCCCTAGCAGCAAAGTTCCACTAACCCCCCATAACTTAGTCTATTGTTCAGATTAAAGTGATAACATGGACAAGTATCTTCCAAATATCTCAATTTGTCTCCGCCCCACATAATTTCCATAAGACAAACACTCGGAGCCATGCTCGCTGGTCACATGACACACATTTTAAGGCCTTTGTTAAATGTGCCTGAATTGCCCTAAAACAGGCTGATTCCATCTGCCCCCACCCGTGGTGCTAAGAGGGTGCATTTTTTAAACAAAGGTTTTCAGATTTAAACCCTTCCCCATGACCTTCCCCATCATCCCTGTAGAGAGTAACACGATCCAGAACGCGCCTGCGTGGGGCGCCCTAGCGCAGCAGAGGTCCCGGATGGCCTGCGCCAGGATGCTGAGTTTCCATCATGGCGGGCCCACTGCAGCTGCTCTCCGGCCTGGGAGGTTGCTGAGGATGCGAGTGGAAGGGAGGGTGTCTGGGAGCCAACCCACAGTGCCCTGATGACTGTCCCCTTCCTGTCCTCCAGGTGGAGCTGCTGCAGGATGCCATGAACTACATCGTGACCCTGGTGGCTGTGCCCAAGGTCAATGGTAAGGCGCTCTGTGAGATGCAAGATTTTGAGCAGTGGGGTCAAGGGATGGGGTGACTGCCTCCAGGCACCCAGTACCTGGCTCAGTTGAACCTCAGGTGGCACGTGACCTAGAAAGGGGATGGAACAGAACGGGAACTCACATGGGTAGAAGTCATCCATTATTTCAAGCAGTCCTTAATGACAGTCCCATAAGATGGGGGATTATGAGTACCTCTAATTTTCACGAGAGGAAATGAAAGATCTGAACAGTTAATTGACTTACAGAGCAGACAGCAGGTGAAGCTGGGGTCCCATCGTGGCTCTGGAGTCTTTTTCCAACTCTGGGCAGAGAAGGATGGGAGTGGGGACCCTCGGCAGAGCATTCACAGTCACCACGCTGGTGAAGCCACCAGCGGGGGTTAGGGGACCAACACGGCTGTGGACATGTAGATGTGTGACTTGGACATTCATAAATTATAAATAAACCTGCAAGCTATTATGTGGACTCTGAATAGCCTCCCCAGGCACATGTGGCTCCGTAATGACCTGGGAGACTGCACAGAATCCTCTGAGTTTCACGCCACTGGCGCCTCTGGCTTCACCCTCAGCTTTGTCACACATGCAGACCCTCTGTCTGCACCACAGCCAGCAGAGCCATGCCCTCGGGACAGCAGTCATGGGAAAGGGGCCCGCCTGGATCCTGGAAGTGGGCTTGAGGACAACGAGGGACATAGGGTTGGGGTGCAGTCTCCAAGGCCACCTTCCTCTGGAGCGTGTGTGCCCAGGAGGTGCCCCCCCAGACTCTCTGCCACCCCTGCCCTTCTCCTGCTCACTTCTCACTGTCTCTGTCACAGAGAGGCTAAAGAAGGGTTTTCCTCTCCCGGTGACCAATCGGATCCAGCTCAGCAACCTGGTGCTTCGCTCGTACCAGGTGAGTCTCCGAGGTCCCTGTCACCAAATGTCCCACACAGTGCTTACCTGTCGTGCAATGCTTCCTCGGTACCCAGCTGTGCATCAGGCACCTTCCACCCTCACATCAACCCCGGGCTGCAGAACTGTCAGTAAATGGGGACAGCAAGGGCTCAGAAAAGCCACACTCACTACACCAAGTCCACACCCCAGGCCATGGTCCCCCTCCTTCCCATACACCACTCGGCAAGCACAAGTAGGGGACCTGCTGAGTGACCAGAGTGCCTCTTTACTGACCTGGCACAGGCGTGCTTCGCACCTCCCTTCATCCAGCATCCTGCTGGGCACCTCGGGGTGGAGAACACGGTCAGTGTCCCTCAGATTTACACACATAGCAGGAGCCACTCTGCGTCTGCCCAGCCTGCCCTCTGGCGGTATCTGACACTAATTCCCCTCAGTGGGCCGCCTTCTTCTGGAAGTTTCTGTGGCTCCTCCACCCCATTCCTTGCTTCTCCCCTGGGTCTTTCCTGCCCCCTCCTTAGTTACTGAGAAGTCAGGACTCTTCCTCTGGCCTTGTCTCCTCCCTCTGTTGAACATTCCTTGCCTCCCCTGGGTCTTTCCTGCCCCCTCCTTAGTTACTGAGAAGTCAGGACTCTTCCTCTGGCCTTGTCTCCTCCCTCTGTTGACATCCTCCGTCACTCATCTGCTCCCCAGCCCCCACCTTGGTGTCACCTTGGTGTCGCGTCCACATTCCTGAGTCTTTCTAAACCTCTGCAGTCACTGCCCCTTCAACTCAGCACACCCCGCAAAGCTGTTACTCGCCCCCACCCCACCAAAAAGCTGTTGCCCAGTGCCACATCCCTTCCCTCAGTGCTTGGCTTTCCTGATGACTTGTGGCTCTCACGTGAAGCCCCATCACCCCAGTTCCTCCCTCTCTCTGACCCCCAACACCAGTCAATCAGCCCGCAGTTCTTTAGACCACTTTGCTGAGGGGAGCAAGAACAGAGCCAACAGCCACCACGCACTCCCTTTCACCAAGTTCCAGCGTGGGCCCCACGGATCTGTTCCATTTCTTCACGTCAGAATCCTGAGTGAAGGGCGCAGAGGGCCGAAGGGAAGCGTTCTGCAACCTTGGTTGGAACAGGGGCTCCCTGGAGCCTTTGTGAGGCAGGATGACAGATGAGGCCTCCAGCACCACAGCTGGGGTGGGGGCTGCACATCACATCAGAAGGGGAAACAGCTGCCCAAGAAAAAAGAAAAAAAGAGAAAGCTGCCAACAGATGCCTGGGCATCAGCAGCCGCTGCTGTGTGGACTCACCAGCGAGACCCCCTGCGAGTAACCCCACGGGCTTCTGCCTTGCTGGCAGCCCACAGGCTGCTCTCTCCCTGCTCCCTCCTCCCTGCCAGGCAGCTCCCAAAGTTTCCTTCGTACAAACCTGTCTACTCTGGGAGTCTGAGGCAGGAGTTAGGACTTTGAACCCAGTCTAGGCAACTTAGCAACTTAGCAAGATCCTGTGTCAAAAAAAGAAATAAAAGGGGCTGGAGAGGTAGCTCAGGGAGAAGGGCTTGGGTTCATTCCCCAATGCCAAGGGGGAAAAGCCAACCCCTCTCCCGTTGAGGGTGCTCCTCCAGCTGATGACCACATTTCATTTCTCACTAGAATTTCCTGCTGCTTGGAGCAAATGTTCGCCTTGGCTGAGGTCGCCGGGGCTGCACCCAGGGTGGGGACCAGTGGCACCTGCTCCTGAGGGGCCGTCGGACAGGCTCCCTTTCCCCAGGGAATCCTCGCGAGACCTTGCAAACCTCTGAGCTCCGACCCGGAAAGCATCTGGACACGGAGTCTGTTGGAAAAGTTCTGGTGTCCGTTTCAAGGGTTTTGTCCTGTTCTCAAAGCTAGACTCCACAACACGTCCTCCAGGAATTACATTTCAATTGTGATGATGGTATTTCTCCTTGGGCATCAAGGAGGGAAAAAAGACAAAAACAAAAACAACCTTTCTTTTCCTGTGAATTCTGTGTGCGGGTATTTTTTCTTATTTTACATCCTCACTGACCTCAGTGCCAGTGCACAGTACACTACAATCACCTCTTTTCATTTCTGTGATAAGGCCCTTGTGTCTCCCACACCTCCATAAACTGCGAGTTCCTTGGGGATCTCTGGGTCCAAAGCGCCTGAGTCCTGTATTTGTGTAGAGCTGGAAGGTGGAAAGTGAGCCGTCCACTGGGCTGTTGTTCTGCCCACTGTCACAAGGCGTCGCTGTTGAAGATGATCCTGCACAGCCTCTTGTCTCCCTGTGGAGGTAGTCGACGTGGAACTGTTGCTCCTAACACTGCCACACAGTGTCGCCATTGAGCAGGTCTCCTGAGCAGCCCCTCTGCTCTACAGGGCTCCAGGATGAGGGCTTCCTTCTAGGGGACAGGCCACCTTGGGGTGCAGTTAGCGCTTCCCTGCGTTTTCTGAGCCCTGGGCGGAGGCAGATCTCCAACCCAGACTATCGGGTTTGTGGTGGATTCCCGTGAGAGCTTTGGGCCATTTTCTGCCCTGGAGCGGATGGGGCTGTCACACTGAGGTACTTCAGAGGCTCTCTGAATGTGGACGCTGGGTCTGAGCCCAGGATGAGCGGCAGCAACCCCGGAGGGCTGGAGCAGGCAGTGTTTGGGGCTGCCATGACCAAATGTAGTTTTTAAAGGGGCACCTTTGTGCCCTCTGGATGCTTGAAAGGACGGGAGCAGAAAGGGTGGGCACCGACAAGGAGCGAGCCAGGCTGCTGACGGGGAGGAAAGCATCTAAACAGCGTTTTGTATAAAAATGCACACACTTTGGCGAATGTCACTGATTCTCTGTTAAAGGGAGGTTGAGGCTTTGGGTTGCAGGGGAAGGAGGGGCATCGGTCAGATGAGCACAGCATGTGATGGCCTCCTTTGGTCCCCAAAATGCCATCCCTCTCCCAAGGTGGGAATTGCTCAGTCCTTGTAGACCGAGTTATTCTCCCTTCACATGGCCTGCCTTTGCCTTTGTGCCCTCAGAGCCCATGTTCTTTCCACCTCCAGATGCCAAAATCATATCGGTTTGGACCTCGGCATGTTTAAGGGAGGACTGTTGGGCTTGGTTGCACAGGTCGTGCACTGTAAAAAGGCATGCCCGGCTCAGGAGACAGAAATCTTTATATTACCCACCAGGATGCCCCTGACTGTGCTTTCCAGAGGTTCGTGCAGCCGGGGCCAGAAGAGCAGCAGCCGTTGAGACTGACTGAAAGAAAGTAAAGGAAGCACAATGTGGGATGAGGCTAGGAGGCCTAGGTTTTGTTCCAAAGTGCAAGGGAAAGCACTGGAGAGCTCTGAGCAGAGGGTGACACCATCTGGGTGAAATTTTGGAAGGCCCCCTGGCTGCTGTGGGAAGAATAACTAGTAAGGTGGAGACACACATGCCTTGCCTGCCCTCGCTCCCCCTCCCACCTTCCTGCACCCTCCCTCTGCTTCCCCATGCGTCTGCACAGCTCCTGCCTGCTCTCTAGGAAGCTAAAGAACGCCCCTTATGCTGGCTCTGACCGTGGTCCGGAGCTCTCTCTCATAGCAGGAAGGGCAGCAGCACAATCCCCCAGTGCTCTCCAGGTGACCTGCACACTGACTGCAAACCTGTACTTGAGTATTATCACCTTCCTGAGAAAGTCACCTGCTCCCAAGGACTACTAATGTGCACATGGTTTCGCTCCGGATGTTGACAGTGTTCTAAAGTTAGACTGGGGAATGGGCTGTTCAACTCCATGAGTGTATGAAGGTCCCTGGACTGCACACTTGAGGTGGGTGAAGGTCACGGGCTGTGAAATACTTGTCAATGAAGTTATGAAAAGCTGGGCATGGTGGTGCACACCTGTAATCTCAGCAATGGAGAGGCTGAGGAGGGAGAATTATGGATTTGAGGCTGGCCCTGGCAACTTAGTGAGTTCAAGGCCAGCCTGAAGCTATCAAAAAACAGGTTGTGAAAAAATTAAAAAAGGAAAAAAGAACTCCAGACTGCCTGAAAGCTCACTGTGCAGCGGCGTCCCTGCTGGGTTAAGCATTGCCTTCTTGGGGCTCCTTATGGAGATGCTGACTAATTAAGTGGGTTAGGGTATGGGGTAGGCCACAGGGAAAGCAACCGGTAGAATCCCAGTTGGCCACCTCTCACGAGTGACTTGGTAACTGTGGGCTATAGTCTCAGGCACCTTGGGTTCAAGTCCCAGGGCTGTTAACAGCTGTGTGACCTTGGGCAGCTCATTCTCTGGGCCTCGCTTCCCTCAGCCATGAAGTGGGTATCATTGCAGCACCTGCCCCTCCAGCTGTTCTGGGGACCCGATGCATTCGAACTCTGGAGGGCAGATGACAGGAACTATCCCAGGTAGCTCTGATATTCCAGAGCTGGTCACAGCGGTGCGCCCATGGCCTGTGCGTAGTAGGTATTTCTTTTTCAAATGACTCCGGAGTTGATCCCAAAGCCACTGTAGGGGATCCCAGGGCTTGTCCTTGCCAGGCCAGTGATGCGCTCCCAGTGAGATGGGGCCGGTCCTTCTCCCTCTCCAGGCTCAGAGTCCCAGGCTGGGAAGGCCATTGCTGTCTGGAATTCAGGAAGGAAACCAGTAAGGTAGGCTCTGGCAAACACTAAAGCATCCTTCCTTGCTGGGGAATTTCTATTCTCCCAGAAACTCCTTCTGGAGTCTGAGGCCATACAGGCAGTAGATGCTACCAGTTGCAGGGGGAGAGAGGGTGGGAGGAGAGCTGGGTCCTTAGATCCCCCCAGGTGGGAGAGCCTGTGTCTGCATGGCCATCTCTGCTCCTGGTGACCTCCCAGCATCCCAGACAGAAGACACGCAGCCTCCACACCACACCTGATCACCCCTGGCCCTACTGTTTTATTTTGTAGATCTACACACCTTGAGCTCTTACACTCATGTGTGTCTCTGTGCCTGCAGATCTGCAGGCGATGGGGCTGCAGGAGGCCTTGCCACTGATATCAAACCCCTAACCGCACATACCCTACAGAGACCCAGATCTACAGGTCTTCAGTAGCATCATCACCTTCTCAGGAGTGTGGGCGCTGTCATGGAAAGCTGCCCCAAACATGGGGCCAACAGGGTCCTGGACAGGCCATGTTCAGAGGAAGTGGGGGGGCTTATTTAGTTCTCTGTTCACAATGGCAGCAGGTCTGCTAGTTTGATGAATCAGAATTCACATTTAAGCCAGATCATTGGGTGGTTTGTCCACACATCACCGGCTCCAAACCACTGGCGCTGTCCCCTGCACTGGGCTGTTTTGGGGACCACTGAGGAGCACAGTTCCCTCTGTGCCAAAGGCCAGCAAGAGCATCGCCATGACAAGGACTCAGCCTCCTGGCTCTGGTCCTTCGCTTGTAATGGCTCTGTGTTTACGTTTTGGCCATGCTGATCCCTGTCCTGGACTGTCCTTCCCTCCTTCCCAAGTCAAATGTCCATGTGACCCAGATCCAGCAGGATGCCATTTCCCTCGCCAAGTCTTCCTTGGCAGCCCCCGACACTTCTGGCCCAGCTTGCTGTGTATATTTAGCTCCATCTTCAGCGATCTTCTGGCCCCATTAACAAAGACCTGAGCCTCCAAACCCGGGGCAGACAGGGGAAGGGGTAATTGGGAAGGACACAGCTGCTGCCAGGAGGGAGCAAGAAAAGGTGCCCCAACCTCTTGTCATGCTGCCCTCTGGCCGAGCCGAGCAGAAGAGGAAACTGAGTCACCCAGTGGGACTTAGGATTCTAACCTAGGCCATCAGACCAGAGTCTATAGTGAAACACAGAGTTCATTGATGCCCTCAACAATTATTTACTCTGTGCTGCTCAGTCTTTCAGGCACAGTGGATGCCACATTCTAGGCTTCTCAGCCAAGGCGTCTGCAATGAGAACACAAAAAGCAGCATCCTTGTTAGAAGACAGAGTCCTTTGTCCTGCCAGTGGGTCCGAGTGTCACAGCTGCGGATTTTGCAGACTGGAAGAAGGAAGGAAGAACCAGCACTGAGGCCTCTGCCAGATCCTGAACTGTCAGCGGAAACTTTACCTGAGAGTGGTCACCGTGGGGGTAGAGGCCTGGCCTGGGCCACATGGCACCCTGCCTGGGCAGCACCAGGGTCCCGCTGTTGCTGGAAAGCCCCGCTCCAGCAAATGCCCCTGCCACCAGAGGCAGCATGACATCCACATCCCTATGAATTCCCCACCCTCCAGACTGTCCTCTCCTGTTCTCCAAGCTGGAAGGTCCTCGGGAATCACCCACCCTGCCCTCTCACTTCAGAGGGGCAGCTGAAGACTAGGGAGGAGACAGGACCAGGCTTCCCCTGAAGGCAGGGAGCAGAGCCCTGGGCACCCTGGGAAACTCCCATGAGGCCACCTGCCTCTGACCTCTCCTGTGAGGCCTCTGTCCTCACCATCTGCTCAGCCTGGAGTGGCTCTTCCCAGGCCAACTCCTCTCACTGTTGGGTTTCCAGCCCAGCATGTTCCCCTTCCCAGAAAGGCCTTGCTTGGGCATCGTTTTGGAATGGCGCCCTCCATCCCTGGGCTCAGCCTTACTGGGTGACTGCGGCCCATCGCCCCTCAGAGCCCCCATTTCTTCATCTGAAGATGAGACTAGAACACAACCTTAGAGTGGCAGCGGGGAAGAGAGGCACCCTGCAGCTTCACCAGCACACTGCCAGGCCTATAATAGGTGCCCGGTAAGTGTTGTTTTCCCTGCATGGCCACAGAGTGCAGGAGGCGCATTCTGCCATCTAGGAGAGACCAGGCTAGGAGAGTAGGGGAAAGGGGATAGAGAGACCCCCAGACCTCAGACTGAGCTAAAAGAGGACCCTGTGGGGCTCTCTGTTCTGAATGTGGGAAATTTTTGGCTCTTTTTTTTTTTTTTTTTTTTTTTTTTTTTTTT